TACTTAATTGTCAGGATGAAAAAGACTGTACGTTTTCCTTAAGAGTACAGCTTTGGAAAATATAAAAATGCCACGTGAAATTAAGTTGAAAAAATACTTAAAGTAAACTAGGTGATTTATCACAGTTTATACAGAATCTAGAAAATTAGGAATAAATATAATGTACAAATTCAATTTAAAATAATCTACAATGATTTATATTCTATCCTCCGCCATTTACATAAAACTAAGATGAGGTACAAAAATTAAGCAATATTTTGAGTTTCCCTGAGAATGCCAAACAACTGGTCTGAGTTTTTTCTAACTAAATTGATTATTAAGCCAAGTTTATCACAGATTTTTCGCTATATAAACACAAAAAGCTTATCAATAAATAAGGCAACAAATAACTTCTTTTATATATTGGAAATTATGACATATTTTAAAAATCTGAAAAAAAGCATTACATTGACTCAAAAACTATATAGACTTCCTGTAAACTTTTGAGAAAAGTTATAATTTGATCAAAAAGATACTTAGAAACATAGGGTAATAAAACAAGTTTTTAAATGTTCACCTTCAATTTATTTCATAGGTCACTGTTATATCATCTAATAAGATAATTAAAAACACGCAAGCAGCTGGTACTACAGCTAAACAGATTAATGTAATAGTCTGTAGTCATATGTGCTGGCAAGGGGCTTGCCTCTTTTGGTGAGGAGAAGGTCAGCTGCCCTTGGGAAGAGGAGGTGAGGCATGGCCCTATGCTACAGTCACTAAGTTAAACATCTTCAGCAAACTGATAATCAGGTAACTACTGTTTCTTCTTTCATATCCATTAAGGTTCTTCTCTCAGTTTTAATGGTTAAATAAGTAACAGTGAAAGCTCACATAATCTGGCAGACAACATTGGTCTTTAAAAAGCACAAGATATATTTCACAAAACCAATAATATCTTCTCAAGCCTTACAAACTTCCCATTTTAATGCATCATCTGCAAATCAGTTCAGAGATTTACAATCTAATTTTAACCAAAATTTCCAAAACAATATCTGGACTATTACTCAAGCATCATATAATAATTATACTGGGGCCACAGGAGTTAAATGCAGCTGTACTCTATCTGAATCTATGAAGCAAGATCAAAAGAAGCTATAAATCCAAAAGCAAATCTACCAGGTTATTAAAAAAAAAAAAAGACTATGAATATTAGACACACAAAGCTATAGTTGGGGTCCATTCATTTTAAATTTTAAAACTTATGTGTCAAAGTTCCAGGTATCATCTCTGACTTTATAGTAAAACACCTTCCTTTCATCTTTACTAGGTGTTCAAATTTGTTATACACAGGTAACCTAAAATATGTGTTAGAGATTGAGAGTGTCAAAACTCAAGTTAAGCTTGTTCTTAGGCACTCTTTCTGCAAACAGACAAAAAATTTATTTTCTTATAAAACATATTTTTATCTTCCTTCTGGTATATTAGATCACTGTAACAATTTCTATAACAGCAAAAGGTTAATGATGATGACAATGATGATGATGACATTGTCTGGAACATAAAAGCAACTAATATTTACTCAGCATTTACCATATGCCATTATTCTATTAAATGCCTCATATCAACTGTATTTTATCATCTCTACTTCAAAGGTGAAGGTGAAGAAACTGAGGGTGAGACTTGTCCAAAGTATTCAAAGTATTTGGAATCAGGATCTGAACCAACATACTATGTTTAAACATTATTTTAAATAACAGACCCAGCGTGGTGGCTCACGCCTGTAATCCCAGCACTTCGGGAGGCTGAGGTGGGTCAATTACCTGAGGTCAGGAGTTTGAGACCAGCCTGGGCAACATGGTGAAACCCATCTCTACAAAAAACACAAAAATTAGCCAGGTGTGGTGGCACACACCTGTAGTTCTAGCTACTCAGGAGGCTGAGAGGCAGAAGGCCTGCTTGAGGCCAGGTGGTTGAGGCTGCAGTGAGCCGACATAGTGCCACTGCACTCCAGCCTGCGTAAGTGAAACCCTGTCTCAAAAAACAAACAAACAAAACCCCCAGAGACTATGCCTTCTTGAAACTGACAATCTAAAACCATAATAATACAAATAATAGAAAGGATACAAATTTGACTGTCCAATTCAAGACCGAATTCAAAAGCTAATAAAATCTCAACATATGTTAGAAAAAGGTATGTGTGTTAGATGGTGAATACAAGCAACAAAGTTACCCATTTATATGAGATGAGCACAAAATAATTAATACTATGACTTTGCATTTATATTTTCAAAAGGCCTTTATTTTATACATTTTTACCTGAGTCTTTAAAACGGTTATGGAAGGAAACAGGTTAGGTATTATAATGCCCATTTGTTAGATGAGAAACTAAAGTAAATCTTAAACCTAGACACAAGTATATATAAAGTATGAGTACTAGGTTTAAGGCCTGCATTGTCTAATTGTGAAGAAAGGCTAGGATTTCAGAGGCAGTTTAAATAATACGAATGAATGTAGAATTGTTATGCAAAAGGACATCTGAGGGTTGCAACATTTATGTTTTTCTAATAACCTATTTCTAATTAGTTTAAAGAGCTATAATGGCAATGAAAAATAATTTTCATTTTCAAAAGTAAGTTTTATTGAAAATTCTACTGCCATTTTAATGTGATTCTGTAACAATTCCTAGATTTTGTCAGTTAACCTTAATATGAAGCTATACCACAGAGCTGTGCTTCTATGAATTCTACACTTAACCCAAGTGTCAAATTCACAAGTAAGCTCATTATATTATAAGAGCTATTGCATACTGAGTAGAAAAATATTCATTTCACACCTTAGATAATAAAATAGTATTTAACAATAGCACTGGCCTGCGAATTATTAAAAGCCCATTTTTACTTACTGTATTATCTGAGTTTTTATCTTGCCTTTTTAATTGCAACAATAAATTAATATTCTAACATTACAACACTGATTTTTAATCAATGCCTGTCATTTTTAGTCAATGACAGAAATTGATTAAAAATAGTTAACATTAGTATTTATTGTGCAAAACTACAATAGGAGTTCATTTTCAAATTACGATTATCACTTAATAATACTAAGATACTTTATTCAAGAACAAAAAACTCACAGGATAATACTATACCTTCACATAAAAACATTTCTCTTTAAATGCCTGATGTAGGTGACGGTGAAGTGGGTGGGATGTGACATATATGCATTTACGCAACGATCCTGTAGGATGCAGGATGCATGTACCCCAGAGACCAAAGCACAATAAAAAAAAAAAAATTCTCTTTATATTATAACCACTATTTACTATAATTAGCTAAACTACAAATGTAATTGTAAAATATAATTCGCCAACAAAATTTATACACATATAATAGGATTTTCCTTCCTTTGAAATACATTATTTTTGTCTTGTTTAATTGTATTTATATCTAATAAATTACCATCATAGATTTCACATATTATCATATTAAGATTCCTCTGTTATGTGTCATATTTTAATATTTATTTAACTTTCATATTTACTTTTTTTGGTTATTGTTATGATCAGCTGTGACACACTCAAATATCCTCTATTTGAGTGTGTATTAAACAATTTGAGTATTAAACAATACTACCTATTGTTTAATATGTCAACTACAAGCTTTATATTATACTGAAGGGCTAAAAAAGCATGGACAATTCCAACATTTATAAGGTAGGATGGATACAGTGAAAATTTAACAACAATATGTGACCTTTACTGCTGTGATAATACCCTTCTAGAACACCATGAGAACAAAAGCCTTTTGTAGCATCCGTGACACTTGAACAACTGATCACTGATACAGACCCCACTTGGTATAAAATAAATATCTCAAGTGTTTCAATTACGATCTTATTTCTGAAATTCATAAACAAACTGTAAAAACTGTTTCATTTACTACATTTCTATTAAGTGCCTCCAGTGTAAAAGGCCCTACTCTAGATGTTAAAAGCCCACCTGAAATCTGAAGAAATAAATAACACAGTTCCAATTAAGAATATATAATATGCATACAAATAAAAATATAAACTAAGCATAAATTCCATATTTATTATAGAAAAGGAGATACAGTTTAATATTCAAATTAGTTTTCAAGTACACGGTGGTTCTTGCATGTATTTTGTAGTGTTGTTACACAAGTAGCAGAAGTAATTAACCATAAGAACAATGTAGGCCAATTAAATTGTTACTTCAAGAATCTACATTGCCATCTATAATGTTAAAATGTATCATTATTGAATTTGCACTTTTTTTTTCCTAAAAGAAAACAACCAACTTCTTACACCATTTTGGTTCAGTATACAAATTTTCAAGTATTACTGAAAATACTTTAATCTTTCTTCTTCCTGACTTTCCCAGATGTAAGGTACAAATTTCATAAACATTTACTGGAGCAAAATTCAAGTTATGAGGAGAATATTAAGAAAGGACTAGGTAAAATACATATTTTCTTAATTAGTACATCCTTTTAAAAAATTACTAATTGAGAAGTAATAGCCCTATTTGCTGAAGAACTTAAACAGGGTATTAGCAAATAGCACTTAATTCAACCATGAACTACATTTTAAGCTCTCTTAGGCACTCATGAGAGGTACTATATTTTAGCAGGAAAATTAAAAGGAAGCTTTAGTATTGTAACAGATACACTGGAAAAACAAAGGCAAAAACGGATTACAACAAAGCTAAATACTACATGTGCATTCATTCCAATTACCCTACTATTGGCTAACAACAGATACTGCAGCAAGTGCATTTACTCAAGAATTTCGAATATTATATTTTTCTGTAACTTATAACTCTGCAGAAAATAACATAGCACAGTATTCTTTCTATTGGTCACTTTTTAAAAACACAAGCAGTATTGGTCACTTTTTAAAAACACAAGCAGAGATTCCTTACTATTCTAAGATCAAAACCCTATATAATTATGTATCTTATACATTACCTTGTAATATTATGTATATATGTATTCGTCACCTACCTATAGGAATTAAAAGTCCCTTCAGAGTCTAAAGAACTTGTTCTTCTTCCATTTTTATTTGAATCTCCTGCAGAAAAAAATTACAACATTGAAATAATGTAGTTAAACTGAATATTTCAGTTGAAAAGCTGTAAAGGCTGTATGCAATGTATTGGTCAAAAAGCACATATCCCCTCCCCCTTCCCCAAATTATCTTTTGTACTCAAAGCTTTTTAGGGAAAAAATTCATTTTGATGCCAAAATATAAACCACTGCCAATCCTAGACTGGATGGTAACAGTACCAAAGTAATTGCTATCAGGAACAAATGAAGCATAGTACAAACATTTTCTTCTTATGAATCACAGACATAACTAAAATTATAAACCAGTGTTTAAGAAGAAAGGCAATTTTTTGTTGTTGACCAAGTCACCCATCCTGATCAGTAGTACTGTCAAAAGAGAGCAGGTACAGACCCGACCTGGATGATTTTCAGGTCCCAGTTTGACACTCTCTAGGAATTTAGTAAACAGAGATAAAAATAAAAAGCCAACTTGAGAAGTCGTGATTAATTAATGAGCTTTTAATATGCCTTACTTAATATTCTTTAAAAAACTTTATTAGCCTTAGGTTTTAACTGTCAAAAGTTCTGCAATTTAAAACATGAAAAAGGAACAGTATTAAAAGGTATCCGGTCTCCTATAATATCAAACATTTAGAAAAAATTTTTTACTCAAGAATGTCATATTCATAAAATCAAATTTAGAACAAATTATACATACCAATTTAAAGACTACAGAAGTAAATGTACTAAAGTTGGAAAAAAATGCTTACCAATGTCCCAATGTTATATATTCTTATTGATCGAAATTTAATGTTTCATTAAAAAAAAAATACACTTCAAAGTATAGTTTCTATGAAACCATAGTATACCACTATTAAAAATGTAATTTGTTCTTCAAAACAAAGTTTAGAGTGTGATTACATTTTATACTCCTAATTCCTATAATGTAACTTTCAAACATCAGATTATATTCATTTTTATAATATTTATAGCTTAATAACAATGATTTATCCAATTTTAATTTATACTTTTAATACACTTTCAACAATCAAAGGTACAACAGGAAATCATCACAGTGGTCGTGGATAAATCAAACAGTAATTACAGAGCTTTCACTTTAAAGATGAGATTATTTTTAATTATTGAGTATAGTTCCTGAGGTACTGTACTTATATAATTATGCTACTCATTAAATGGGTACTGAATGCTGAAATGTAATTTTAATGATAGCTACCTATCTTTCTTTACATATTTTATAGTTGACAGATAGAAGAACAGTGGTTCTTTTTGAGAGTTTGGTGAGATATGTGCAGCTGTGTCAGTGTTCAGGAGGAGGAGAACTGGACTGAGCACACTTATTAAACTTGCAACTCTACTCTTTTCTCAAAATAGTATTCCAGCTTTTTTTGTTTTTTTTAAAAAAACAAAAAATCCTAAAATGGATTACAACACTTAAAAACGGTGACAATTTATAGAAGAAAATAATCCAAAAACATATAAATGTTTAAAAATAACCTAGCTAGGTATACGTTACTAATTCTTTGAAAACATGGGTATGGTAATATTACTCATACAACACCCTTTATTTTCTTTTAAAAATTAATAACATTATAATACACTGAAAAGATTTTTAAAAAATTAGTCTGTCTTGCTAAATGAAAATTTCCTACAACACATGTTATTTAACAGCTTGCAGACATTTCCTGTGAAACATTCCATAATCAGCATAGAATAAGCACTATATTATACATTTAAAATGAGCTTCTTTCTCCTTAAAACTAAAAATTATGATTAAACATGCAAAATCTCCCAATAGAATACTTCTTCCTTAAGCTGATATTTATCAGATCAAATATTAAATCCTTCAAATAATTAAGAGACTTTTGGTTTTATAAACAACCAGGTTTGATCATCTATTATAAAGGTTTTCTTTAATTTTTATTGTTTCCAAATGAAAATATCACATTAAATGTAACTTTCAAGGTGCAAAAAATAGTAATAGAAAAAAGAAAGCAGGTTTTCTTTCTCAAAAACATATCAAATAAGGAGTACAATTGTTTCACTAACAATATTAGAGAAAACATTTCAGAGTTGGCTATATGGGGAAAAGGCAATAAAGTTTTGAAGCGGGAAAAACGCTTTGTTCCCTCAATCCTCTAGTTGAAATTAATTATAGGAAATGTTTATGAAAACATCTGTTCCTTACAATTATAAATTCTTAATTTTAGTATGAACGATTCCAGACTCTTATTTTGGAAGGAAACTGACTATCGAAAGGTTTACAAAAGAACAGACAGACTCTGTAACTCTGTAAAATTGTGTATACAATTTGCTACATCCTGTAGAGATTTTCCTTGGTGGGAAACATTTGGAGGGGCTTAAAACCAGTAACTAGGAGAAATCGAAGACAAACAGAAAGGCTCATTTTTCATTTAAGCTGTAATATGATAAAAAAACATATCTGTAACACCAGAAAACAACTTTCACCAGTTTGGGAAATAAACCAGTGTTACTTTACTACTGAATCTAATTTGGAGGTAAGTATAATAAAATAAGTATTAATTTTATAAGAGATTTAAGTAAGTGTAATGACAATACAATCATGGGAACATACACGTAGTGTTTCCCAAAAATAACAACAGAGGGTGCAAGAGAGTTTAGTATGATGTTTTTACTTGCTTTTCTGATCCTTGAACTAAGTTGTCAGGTAGCCAGAACTGTAACAAGGATGCAAAGACTATATTTGGATCATACATACACACACACATAAAACACACACACAGAAACATAGTATTAATGTAATCTTACACAAAGACTATTGTGATTAAACAGCACAAATATCTAAAATGTGTTTTTAAGGTAACAGAATTCCTTTTACTTACCTGAAAAGTAATTTACCTATTAAGTAATTTTTAGAATACAGTTGTAACTTTTAAGGTATTTCAGTATCTACTGTAAACTAACCAGTAAAACAATCTAGATGTCTTTAATGAATATATTTTGAATATATGCACGAATTATATGCAATACATAACACATTTGTGTTACTATATAACATTGTACAACATTTATCTATAGGAACAATTCATCAATTACTTGTGACCGTAAGTTTGAAATCTATGTAACATTCATTTCTCATTAATGGGTAAGCAACTTTCCTAATGGGTTCATAATATTTACAATTAAAATAAATTGCTCATTTGCAAAAATATGCTGATAGTTTAAATTATGAAGAAAGTGCATAATATTGCCTAATAATAATTTCTAACATGTGTGTCTAACTTATTAAGCCAGTATGTATAACTGTAATTTAAATTTCTAAACAGAATGAATGGGATATCAGACTCCCTTTTAGCTTTAACTGAGGTCATGTTTAGCAAAGGACATTTTTGGTTCTGTCTGTGCACTACTGAAATTTTTCTAAAGGGAGGTTTACAATAGATTTCTGTAGTATTTTTCTATACATAAACATCTAGGTTCATGAAGACAGAGCCAGAGATTTTTAAACTAGGTTAAGTTAAAAACAGCCAGAATAACACTATAAATAATCACGCCTACTCAAATGTGTCTTCAGTTTACCTCTGAAAATATCAGGTTTTAGAGTATCATATCACACTAGGTATGAATTCTGAAAAGTATTACATAATAAAGAAAAGGTTTTATCTTTGAATCATTAGAGAACTGTCAACATATAAAGTCAGGTATTTAATAGTTAGATGGGGGGAAATGACTTGGTTCAAACTAAGATGAAAACAAAGCTATGAGTTTAGTGTAAAGTCCTGAAAGTCTTTGAGTCTTTTAAAGGAATTAGTATATACCAATGAAGTGTTTTAGTTAAATTTAAAATACTTTAAAAAAGAAATGATTTTTAAAAATCTATGAAAAAAGTATATTCATGTGTTGACACACACAGTGAAAGCAAAGCATAATGACTCAGCATTATCTATAAATATGGTAGCCACATCATTTGAGAAACCAGGCTACCCATTAGCCACCCCAAGCTAATTATTTATGCTAAAAATACAGGACCACTCATTAGATCTAAAAGCCAGTGCTAGAGTCAATACAGAAAACTCATGAATTTTAAAATTTTCGATTTTCTTTGTTGTATTTACATTCTAAAGATTTAATAGCCATATTTGGTTCTCTAAATATTTTTAAATCATTATTGTAGATAATGAAAACTCAGATGTAAAACAGAAATTCATAAGAAGTCAAGTCTTAAACACATTTTCAAATGGACCATTTTAATTTGAGAAAATAACGTTTTGTTATTCCTGTTAAACCTTTAATTCTTAAAAAAAAAAAAAAAGAAAGAAAGAAAGAAAGCAGCATGACATCAGCAAGATGGCAGAGTTTGAAACTCCAAGTACATGTCCTCCTACAGAAACACTGGAAAACAAAAGATACTTTTCAGGACTTTGTAAAAGCTGTGACAAATGGTCAAAAATTTTCCAAAACCAAATGAACACTGAATCAAGAAAAAAGGTAACTTAAAAATTTTGTGGTGTTTACACTTGCACTTGCCCCACCCCCTCCCTGGCCCAGTAGCAGTCTGGACGTAGGTAGCTACTTTCCCAGGGTGGGAGTCTGATATTTGTTCTCAAAGGAAAAAGGGAACAATGTTTGCAAATTGTTGTGCATATATGTTCTAACCTGTGTAAGGGCCACCTGAAAGATGATACAAGATGCCTTTTGCTGTCAGGCTAACTTAGAAGAAGCAGTGGACATCAACAGAACATACAACAAGCCAAACTAAAAACCCTATATATAATCCATTCTCACATTGCTATAAAGCACTGCCTGAGACAGGGTAGTTTATCAAGGAAAGAAGTTTAATTGAATCACAGTTCCACATGGCTGGGGAGGCCTCAGGAAACTTACAATCATAGCAAAAGGGGAAACAAAAATATCCTAATTCATACAATGGCATAAGGAGAGGCGCAGAGCAAAACAAGAAAAAAGCCCCTTATAAAACCATCAGATCTTGTGAGAACTCACTACCACAAGAACAGCAGCATGGGAGTAACCACCCTTATGATTCAATTACCTCCCATTGGGTCTCTCTCACAACACATGGGGATCATAGGAACTACATTTCAATATAAGATTTGGGTGAGGACACGGCCCAACCATATCATTGTGACCCTGACTGCTCCCAAATCTCATGTCCTTATATTTCAAAACACAATCATGCCTTCCCAATAGACCCCCAAAGTCTTATTCCAGCATTATCCCAAAAGTCTAAGTCCAAGGTCTTATCTGTGTCAAGGCAAGGCCCTTCCCCCATGAGCCTGCAAAATCATAAGCAAATTAGCTACGTCATAGACACAATGGTAGTACAGGAATTGGGCAATATACCCACTCCAAATGGGAGAAATTGGCCAAAACAAAGGGGCTAGGAGCCCCATGCAAGTCTGAAATCCAATAGGGCAGTCATGAAACCTTAAAGTGGCAAAATGATCTCCTTTGATTCCATGGCTCATATATGTGTCACACTGATACAAGAGGTAGGCTCCCGCAGCCTTGGTTAGCTCTGTTCCTGTGGCTTTGCAGGGTACAGCCTTTCTCTTTGCTGCTTTCACAGCTGGCATTGAGTGTGGCTTTTCCAGGTGCACAGTGCAAGCTGTCAGTGAATCTACCATTCTGGGGTTTGGAGAACAGTGGCCCTCTTCTCACAGCTCCATTAGGCAATGCCCCAGTGGGAACTTTGTGTGGGGACTCTGACTTTACATTTCCCTTCCACACTGTCCTAGCAGAGGTTTTCCATAAGGGCCCTGCCCCTACAGAAGACTTCTGCCTGGACATCCAGGTGTTTCCATATATCCTCTAAAATCTAGGTGGAGGTTCCCAAACATCAGTTCTTGTCTTCTGCATACCCACAGGCCCAACACCACATGAAAGCTACCAAGGCTTGGGGCTTGCACCCTCTGAAGCAACAGCCCAAGTTATATGTTGGACCCTTTTAGCTATGAGTGGAGCTAAAGCAGCTGTGACCCAGGGCACCATGTCCTGATCCTGCATAGAGCAGTGGGGCCCTGGTTCTAGCCCATAAGACCATTTTTTCCTCCTAGGCCTCTAGACCTGTGATGAAAGGGGCTGCCATGAAGGTCTCTGACATGCCCTGGAGAAATTATCCCCATTGTCTTGGTAATTGACATTCTACTTGCCATTACTTCTGCAAATTTCCACTGTGGGCTTGGAATTCTCCGCAGAAAATTTTTTTGCCCTATCACATTGTCAGCCTGAAAATTTTGCAAACTTTTATGCTCTGCTTCCTTTTGAATGATTTGTTCAGAAATTTCTTCCACCAGAGACCCAACATCATCTGTCTTAAGTTCAAAGTTTCACAGATCGCTAGGGCAGTGGCAAAATGCCATCAGTCTCTTTGCATAGCAAGAGTGAACATCATTCCAGGTCCCAACAAGTTCCTCATTTCCATCTGAAACAACCTCAGCCTGGACTTCTTTGTCCACATGACTATCAGCATTTTGGTCAAAGCCATTCAACAAATCTGTAGGAACTTCCAAACTTTCCCACATCTTCTTGTCTTCTGAGCCCTCCAAGTCTGTAGGAAATTCCAAACTTTCCCACGTTTTCCTGTCTTCTTCTGAGCCCTCCAAATTATTCCAACTTTTGCCTGTTCACCCAGTTCTAAAGTCACTTCCACATTTTTGGGTATCTTTATAGCAGCACCCAATCTCTGTGGTACCAATTTACTGTATTAGTATATTCTCATGTTACTATAAAGGACTACCCAAGAGTGGGTAATTTATAAAGAAAAGAGGTTTAATTGACTCACAGTTCCGCATGGATAGGGAGGACTCGGGAAACTTATACAATCATGATGGAAGGGGAGGTAAATATGTCCTTCTTCACATGGTGGCTGGAAGAAGTGCCAAGCAAAAGGGGGAAAAGCCCCTTATAAAACCATCAGATTTCATAAGAATTCACTTAATATCACAAGAACAGCAGGATGGGGGTAAGGGTCCCCTTATTCAATTACCTCCAACCAGGTCCCTCCCATGACACATGGGGATTATGGGAACTACAATTTAAGATGAGATTTGGGTGTGGCCACAGCCAAGCCATATCACCCAGAGAAGCCTGAAGCAAAAGACTGCAATTGAAACATAGACATTTAAAAGCATTCATGTGTTTGAGGGAAATGTAGAAGGCCATGTGCATGCCCAAAGCAACATGCATGATCAGGAAGTAACTGAGAAGACCCTAAGCTTCCACCAAAAGCTGATCACTGTATGTGGATTGCAAGCTTAGCTAAGCGTTAAAGAACTACTGTGGCACACAGCCAGTCTGCAAAGACAGGAAGAATTTTTTAATTTTGAGGGTGGGGTCTATATAAACACAGTGTTTTTAGCTTTTAAATGAATAAATATACTCTTGATGATCTCTGTTTAAACTTTAAAGTATTTCCTGGAGCAAACTTTACTGTACTGGTAAAATTAAACTGACAGATTCAGTTTAATGAAATCAGGAACTAGAGCCATTAAAACATCATAATTAAAAGCTAAGATTCAGCTATTTATTTGTTCTGTTACTTAACCATTCAATGTCTCAGACTCCTCATCTGTAAAATGGAGACAATAACAGTTTTACCACAAAATGTGGTAAGAAAGATTAAATGAGATAAATGCATGTGAAGTGCTTAGTGTATTATATAGTACAAATAAATCCTCAATAAAAGTTAGCTATCATTTTATTAACATTTTAATCAATGTATTTATAATACTGGTTCTAGCAGAGGAATAAACGTAAAAGGCTACTAGTTCTATACAAGGAGAATACACTCCCTCATAACTTAAATAATTGAATATTGTGACTCTTTACTTCTTAGCAATTAACAAGTATTATTCCTGAAAACATTTATGAATTATATGAGGATGGTGTGTAAGACTTGTGAAGCCCTTGCAATGTCCTTCCTGATAATGATCTTATCAAACATAAAATATTTAAAGAGAATAAGGAATACGGTAAATTTAAATAAAATTACAGCCTTGAAATGTAAAGCCATATAATTTCATGAACTTAAGATACATAAATGTTTCTTGAAACTGGTAAAAGACAAAAAACTAAAACCATGGTCAATCTATTAATAAACTAAAACTAACATGTATGATAGTATATACTATTACACATAAACCAATAACAGATAAGCTATAAGAAGAATTCATTAATGATTCTGTCACTAAATGGGAAACAGGGACTAATTTCAAAGAAAATCACAAGTAAATTACCCAATTTAAGTTAATATGTGCTATGGTTGAATGTGTCTATCAAAAAGCATGTGTTGGAACTTAATACACAATCCAACAGGGTTAGGAGATGGGGCCTCGTGGGAGGTGTTTAGTTCAAGAGAGCTCTCCACTCATGAATTAATTAATGCTGACTATAAAATAGCTTAATACTGTGTGTTCAATCTCTTGCTATCTCTCCCATGTACTCTCATGCCCTTCTGCTTTCTACCATGGGATAATGCAGCAAGAAGGCCCTCACCAGACACTGGCACCTCAATATTAGATTTCTCAGCCTCCAAAACTGTGAGAAATAAAATTATTTTCTTTATGAATTATCCAGTCAGTGATATTCTGCTATGATACACAAAACAGACTAAGGTAACACATAATAGCATGCAAATCCAAATATTTCTATTTAGTATGATTGTCATTTCTCTAGGTACTCTATGGATATAAAGCTACCTGATGTCTCAGAAATATAACAGAGTAGGCCAGAATCAATCCAGAAAACAGAATTCAAAGGCAAAATTAATATTTCTTGGTCCCACCATCCACATCTATTACAAGAGGGGGATGGTACCAGATCATATCTGATCACATGGGAACAGGTATATAGCATGTGTGTGATGTGAGGGGAGGGAGGAAGGGAAGAAGGGGAGAGAGAGGGTGGGAGGAAGGGAGAGAGAGGGTGGGAAGAAGGGAGAGACAGAGAGAGGGAGGAAGGGGGGAAGAGACGGGAGAGAGGGGGCAGAAGAAGGAAGGGCAAAAGAAAGGGGGGTAAGTGGGGGCAGAGAGAGAAAAGAGATTGAAACATTTGGGGGTGAGGCCCAGGGCTCTAGTTTAAAGGGTTCCCTAGATTATTCTGATGATACACAGGCCTTTCCTATTCTAAAATTATAAGCTTCTACTGTACTAAAAATGACTATTTTATTATAGAAGGCAATTTAATTTGCCCTAATTGAGGAAATTATTGGGTATCTTATATGCCCTCATTTACTAATGACTAACAATAAGGTACAAGCTATGATCTCATTTTCCAGCAATAGTAATAGACTGTATTGAGCTATGCCAACTTCACACATTATCCTAATATGTTCAGTACTATGTACTCTTTACTGGGGGAGGGTAGAAGCTCCAGATGTTAAGCAGAACACTACTAATGGCCTCTGAGGTTCTACCATAGACTACTTGGATCTCAAAAGCATGTTCCAGAGAAAGAGTTGCAATGCTAATGCTGTATTTTAGACAATTACAAAACACATTTCCACTAAGTACATAAACAACAAAGTAGACTTTCAGAAAAACTTGCTAAGAAGTAAATATGTTGATAAAGAGTATTTGAAAATATTTCTTTAAACTTGGAGAAACAGTATTAAGGCCATAAAAGATTTCATATGGTTTGGCTGTGTCTCCCCTCAAATCTCATCTTGAATTGTAGTTCTCATAATCAACACATATCATAGGAAGGACCAGGTGGAGATAACTGAATCGGGCGGTGGGTGGTTTTCCCCATCCTGTTGTCATGATAGTGAGTTCTCACGAGATCTGATGGTTTTATAAGGGGCTTCCCCCTTCGCTGGGCACTCACTGTGTCTCCTGCTGCCATGTGAAGAAGGATGTGTTTGCTTTGCCTTCCACCATAATTGTTTCCTGAGGCCTCCTCAGCCATGCAGAACTGTGAGTCAATTAAACCTCTGTCCTTTATAAATTACCCAGTCTTGGGTATTTCTTCATAGCAGTATGAGCATGGACTAATGCGTGATTATTATATAATATGTCATTTACTACAATTTTATCTTAACAAAATACAAATAACAATTTGGTTTAAATTTTGGCTGACTGAGACTTTTAGCCTTACTACACTCCAACAAAAGCTTAAATAAAACATATCCTCCTCAAAACAAAACAAAACAAAACAAAACAGCATTAGATTTTCAAAAAGAATCTAACTGATAGTAGGAAATTCTAACCCTAACATTATCTGTTAAGTGCATAAATATATGCATATATTATTTACTAAATAAAATAGAGTATACGTGATAGTAAAGTCCTATTTTACTTTCTTTCAAATAATACCTATAGAATATTTAATCAAAATTATTCCTTTTCTTCAGTGTCATAAAAAGGAAACATCTTTTCTACAAAAAAGAATCATTTGGGTACAATCAGTGCCAGATCCCTTAAGATTGAACATCTAGTGGACAAGACTTTATAAAATGTAAAGGCATCCATTAGCCCCAAGTACTTAACTTTAGATGTTAATATTAGATATGTCCCATTTTGGTGCCTGAAAAACTCACTGGGACTATATGCAGGATATAAATCACCATTCATGAACCAGGATAGCTGATTCTATCTGTGTCTTTTAAATAACAGCTATCTGGACAAGTTCATACAACAAATATCTACTTAAAAACCATAAAAGGCAATTTTACTATGATGTTCCAAAGCCTAAATAAAGAAGTGAAGGTAAATATTCTCCAAAATATCTTTAGTCTTACAAAAAATTTACCAACACAAATCACATTAAAATGTTAGTGATTAGTATTTAAATCTAAAAACCTCAAATATCAAAATTTTAAAAAATGTTTACCAATTCCTTCAAATAAAAAAATTCCAAAAATATTTTAATTAATTCATATAAAAATGTGTTTTTATATGAATCAAGGTTTTCAGAAATAATGCTTTTTAATTGCTAAGAAGTCACAATATTCAATTTCTTTACAAATTTTTGCTATGACATTAAAGAATTATTATACTAAAATAGTATTTAAAGAAAAAATTCTAAATCCATGAATTGATATGTATGTACCACTTTATGATAATGCATCTTTGTTTATTAAAAATGTGATTTTTAAAAATCTGATAACTAGAAATATGTCAAAGTAATGGCTATTCCTTTAAATCTGCTAGGAAGTGTACAATGTTGTACAAAATCCTTGTAGATTATTAAAAATATCAAAGTAGTTATCACTTATTGAGCATTTTATTCAAACAAATTATTCATTATCTAGACAAACTGTAATGGGTCCTAATCAATAAATGCATTTTGTAATTCAAACTTTTAGTCATAAATCTAGATGTAATAGTTTTTCCAGGATTTTTAAGTTCTTTCAACAGTCACATGTTGAACACTTACAGTATTCAAGTGCTGACATTATAGTGGTAAGCAAAAGCTCAAAATCCACCCCTGACATACTTCAGTTTGATGAATGTCCAGCAGAGCAGAGAGACAGCCAAAGCAATGCACAATGACAACGTTCAAAAATGTAATAAAGGATAGTTACACACCTTACTATAATAATTGACCGAGAGGGTGGATGAGTCACAGATCAAAAAGGGTATACAGAGCATTCCACTAGAGATCAGCATATGCCAAGATCCTGTGGAATTCACGTTAAGGATTTTGGTCTTTATCCTCAACAAAAAGTCAGTAAAAGAAGGGTTATAGGCTGGACACAGTAGCTCATGCCTAAAACTGTAACACTTTGGGAGGCAGAGGTTGGCAGATTCATTTGAGCTCAGGAGTTCGACACCAGCCTGGGCAACATGGCAAAACTCACATTTAGAAAATATCAGCTGGGACTACAGGTACATGCCACCATGCCTAGCTAATTTTAGGGGACTGGGGCAGGGGAGTCACTTGAGCCCAGGAGGTCTAGTCTGCAGTAAGCCGAGATGGTGCCACTGCCCTCCAGGTTGGGTGACAAAGTGAGACCTTATCCCTTAAAAACATATATAGTGCTTTGTTTTGTTTTGTTTTAATTGAGGCAGAATCTCACCCTGTCACCCAGGCTGGAGTGCAGTGGCATGATCTTGGCTCACTGCAACCTCTACCTCCTGGCTTCAAGCAATTCTCCTGCCTCAACCTCCCGAGTAGCTGGGATCACAAGAATGAGCCACCATGCCCAGCAAATTTTTATATTTTTGGTAGAAATGTGATTTCACCATGTTGGCCAAACTGGTCTTGAACTCCTAACCTCAGGTGATCCACCCACCTTGGCCTCCCAAAGTGCTGGGATTACAGGCACGAGTCACCCTGTCTGGCCAAAAAGATTCGTTTTTAAGTGGTCACTTGAAGTTCAGGGTGAAGTGATTTGTGGGTGGGTGTAGGAAGAAGGAGAGTGGATGAAGGGAGACTGGATAAGAAGCTTTGTGGCACCCTAAGGCAAAAATAATGATAGGATAGCTATCAACATTGATGATACCATTATCAGACCACCTTAAGAATGGAAATTTACCATTCTGTCAAGTCTATTGATATTTAAATCTCATTTGAATCATTCCTTCATTCAATGAACATCTACTGAGTGTCTACTATGCGCCACTGACATAATTCCAGTCCTAGAAAGCAGAAGTATTATAGTGAACTATAGTATTATAGAATAAAGTGGAGGAGCAAGGGAGAAAACAAAAGAAAATAAATTTGTAAGTTCAGATAATTATAGGAGCTATAAATACAAGAGAGTAACATGACATTCAGTGATTGTGGGAGGGTGCTCTTTGAAGATGAAGGTAATTGATTTTGGATTCTAAAGACGAGAAAAAAATCAGCCACTTGAATATCCATGGCAAAGGGTACAATATGCAAAGCACACGGGCCCTACTATAGAAGGCAGCTTTTAAATAGAAAATAAAGACAAGTTGGTTGGAGGACTGGGAGCAGAGTACTATGATGTGAGGATAAGCATGCAGGCTAAGAAGTGGCTATATAACTTATGGTTTGAATGGGAGAAGTCTGAATTTTGAAACTACAATGAGAAGCTACTAGAAAGTTTTAAAATCACAAAATTAATTCTTTCTAAGATATTCTAAACAATTATGATTTTAAATCATTTCTATGGCGGGAAAAGTAACTTTTATTTCACACATAGTAAAGAATTTGATTATTCATTTCAAAGAAATGCTTTCTACATAAATTAGACATTAACTTGGTTTCTCAATAAGACTTAAAACAGATCACAATAAAACAAACCAAAAGAATTATAGGTTACTAGTAGGATTTCCAGTTCCACCCATAATGGAGCACCACTGCAGCATATTTCTCCCACTGACAATTTAAAATTCTGTGCAAAATACAAAACAAAAACAAAAACCACTTGAAGGCTCTTAAAAGTAAATAACAGGAGGCTTATTGGAGAAGAAAGTCAGTGGTGGTGTGTTTTCTGTTGAAGAAAGTCAGTGGTGGTGAGTTTTCTGTTCTTTCTCCTCCTTCATCTAGCACATCAGGATGAATCTGAGAACTAAATAGCAGGTATAAGGAGCAAACACTCCACAAGATTCCCATTTTTCAGAAACTAGAAAAAGGAGCTCCTGTGACCTGGAGAATGTGGAAAGAATTCTCTTTCTTTTTCCCTTGTTTTTTCATTTCTAACCATGTGACAAGGCCAGGTCTAGTTTTAGAACTACCCTGCCACAGTAGGTTGGTGGCAGCAGTGGTGTGGGCACTTAAAACTCTAGTAAGGCTAGCCTTCTGTTAGGAAACTGTGGAAAAGGGCCCCTGAGAATGCCTATTATTTTTTTCTTTGCTATTTCTCTCATCACTTTGACAAAAAAGTGTACTTATTCATGTGGAACTGTGCAATAACACAGGTGGCAAAAGTTATGATAAAGCCAGACACAGTGTGTGGGATAACCCTGGAGGAAGTCCCGGACATGGGATTCTCTAATTCTG